TCCGGCTGATTTTTTGATTTATTGTAGAGATGAGGTCTCGCCTGCCCAGGCGGGTCTTGAACCCGCGGACTCAGGCAATCCACTCACCTCAGCATCCCAAGGCACAGGATTACAGACTGAGCCACCGAGCAACCCGGCTATGAAGTCTTACTATATTGCCTAGGCTGAATTTGAACTCCTGGGCTCAGGCAATCCTTCTGCCTCAGCCTCCCAAAGTGCTGGGAATACAGGCATGAGCCACTGTTGCCTGGCCTATTATATTGTTATTTGGCTACAGAGGTGGCCAGTCCTTGACCACTGGGCTGAGCTACTCCCTCTGGCAGCTGGGAAGTCTCAGGTCATGCTATCAGTTACAGATAACCAACAGTGACTCCACTTTGCTCCTCCTTTCCCTAGGTGAACATCATCCCCATCATCGCCAAATCAGATGCCATTTCTAAGAGTGAGCTAACAAAGTTCAAAATCAAAATCACCAGCGAGCTTGTCAGCAATGGAGTCCAGATCTATCAGTTCCCTACAGATGATGAGTCGGTGGCAGAGATCAATGGAACCATGAACGTGAGTGGGAGCCCAGGGGTTCAAGTTTCTGACCATTTGCTCTTTATTATTATTTTACCAAATAGGAGTAAAGCATCTTCATTATCCTTCTTAGTATAGTCAACTCTTGATTATCAAAGTCTCAGGCATTGGTGAGAGAGAATCCAGAACCAAACCAGCTCCTTTCTCCTTAGTGGTGGCAGCTGCAAAGCCTCAGAGACACAGAGGTTAATGGCCAGAGACCGAGGGAAAGGGTTGAGTGTAGGGCACAATCTTCAGACCTCTCCTTCCACCCAGCTCCTTGATGCTGTTCCAGTCTAGGCTGGGCAGCTCCCATGGGAGAGCAGGAAAGGCAAACAGTCTTTGTCTCTGACTAAAACAATGCAGGAACAATTGATGTCACAAAAGAAAAAAAGGCTGAAAAAGTTGATCGGTTTCAGACACTGGGGGATAATCCATACTCAGATCATCAAGTCTTCTGCCCCTGGAAGGACAAATGCTACATACAGTATACAATGTTGCCAGTGACTAGAGAGATGTTGTTTTTAAATATTTTTAAAACGCTTTCCTTTATTAAATGTGAATGAATTTTTTTTAAAAAAGCCTTTCCATCTTTCCTCTCCTCCCTCACGTCCCCCCTACTAGAGGGATGAGTAATAAAGAATGCAGAAAGTCAAACATCTCCTCATACTTCTTTAGTGTGTTGGTGCTGTTGCTGTGAAATCTTCAATGTTGTGATTTCAAGGAGACAGCTAATAGCTTTCAGAATGCCTCTACTTTGGGAACAGATTTCTTTTTCTCTATTGAGAGGCATCAGTTTTTCCTAATGACATAATGCCTGGGTATAGCCAAACTCTGGAAAGCCTTGTAATAAAAGTCATTTTTAGAAAACTTTCCTGTTGCCACTGCCCTCGAAGTTATCATTACAGCATCAGCTGTCACCTCCTATGAATTGGCCAACACATTAGCATAGCAGGGCAGCAAGTCATTGTCTCGCCTGACTTCCTGCCCATCAGTACACCTGAGATGTGTTTTTATTAGCAGTCCATCATCATCTTTGACAAATCTGGCTCAAGGGCAAGGCTACGTGGATTGTGGTAGGTGGAGATGTATCCTGTGTGACCAGTTGTGGGCATGGAAAAAAATAAAAAAAGATTAGTGCTTGTCTTCTTAAGCAGTCAGGGCGTTTTGATGGAAACTAGGCTCTGTTATGAAAAAACCTGAAAGGATGCCTAGCATGCAGAAAAATGGGAGGCTAGAGGAAACACTGCCTAGGTGTCACTGGCACTGAGGTCTGGAAGCATCTAGTCATCTCAGGACATCGCCCCCCCTGGATAATTTCCATATGTTGATTCTCTAAGTCACCAAGCAACTTTCAGGCATGAAGTTTGCTTGGCTAAAAATAAACAGGGGCTGAAAGTTCTCAGAAATCTCAAGGTGTCACACAGAACTTCAACTCTGTGGATCAGGAGTGACAATAATCCTGGGCTCTGTTCTTAGCTCAGCTCTAGCCTCCAGCTGAGCCTAGGGTAGGCTCAACCTCAAGGTTGGAGACTTCTCATGGTACCAGGCAGGAGTTCTCAAGTACCCTGTTATGACTGTGAAGAGGTTATGGGTCCTTTGTTACTCATAATAGTCCAAGAGTTGCCAGTATTTCACATTGAAAAACTAGGGTTGAGTGGATTCGGGGTTACCCCTATAATAATATCACTCACCACGCACTCCCTGGCATTCCACTCTGATTTTCTAAGTGGAAAAGAGAGGAGTGACCTCACAGCTACTGTGCCTGGAGTTAGGCATGCCTGTGGGAGGGGCTTGCATGTGAGTGCTTTGCGTTATGTGCACTGTGATTGGGGAACGGGTGCTGTAAAATATGTGCACGGGATTGCTTAGCCTGCCTGCCACCAGAACTGTGTCGAAAGTCCCCAGAGTTTTTGGACAAGCTGTGGTGTATGAAGCTACATCATAAGAGACCTGTGCTTCGGTCATAGAAAGAATGAGTGCTGGCCTTTCAATTCTGGATTTGCCTGCAGCCCCACAGCCTCAGTCACCCCAGCCAAATGTTATAGGGACTGGGTTGGAAGAAGAAGAAGCCTCTTGCCTGAGTGGAGAAGACTGTATAGCATTCCATCACTTACCATGAGAGATTTCCATGGCAAGGAATGAGAGTAATGAGGTCTCAGACACCCCCTTGGCTTATTAGTGGCTCTGGAAAACCTTATTACAGATTGAAGGGACAAGAGAAGGGAATGGTCTTGTTGCATGCTACCTTTAACCTATTCTCTGATATCTCTCAAGGTTGTAGAATTTAATACTAAGATTTATTATGTTGTTTACATTTAATGTTGTTCTTTGAATGACTCAAGTCATGACCAGGGACCAGCAAATAAGCCCACTTACTCGACTAAGCTCAGTTGGCTGGCCATTTGTGAGAGTTTGGTCTTCACAAAGCCATGGGCCCAGACCCACAGGCACAAGCCCATCTCTTTCTCTGAGACAACAATGGTATTTCTGTCTTGCTTGCGTACACTTTTGTGGGAATTACCAAGGGTTGACTTGAGAGCAAATCAGGTGATGGTTTTGCTCAGTCTCCAGTAGGAGCTTGGAATGAGGGTGAGCATAACTTGGAGCACAGCTGGGAAACACTGTCCACCCTGAGAGGAAGCCAAGCCCAAACAGGATTGGCATATTATCATCACATAAGGAATAAAGATCCTGACAGACTCAATTTCACTGGGCTAAGGAGAACAATCATCCAGCCTCCTAAGCATAATGGATGTGGCAGAATGAGAATAAAACACTTCATGCCAATTGGATCATCAAACACATTAAAATGTACCAAAAAGAAGTTAAGTCAGACACTAGACAGTAAAGGTAGTGCTATGGTTTAAATGTGTCTCTTCTAAAATTCAGGTGCTGCCCATGTGATGGTAATAAGAGATGAAGCCTTTAAGAGGTGATTAGGCCATGAGGGCTCCTCCCCCATTAGTGGGATTAAGGTCCTTTTAAAAGAGGCTTCACTCAGCATTGGACTAACTTGCCCTCCTGCCTTCCACATATGAGGATGCGGCAAGAAGGCCCTCACCAGACCAGATGCCAGTGCCTTGATCTTGGACTTCCCAGCCTCCAGAACTGTGAGAAACAAATTTCTGTTCTTTATAAACTACCCAGTTTCAGGTAGTTTGTTGTAGCAGCACAAAACAGACTAAGATAGGTATTGAATCTGGGAATAGACTCCCAAGGGGAGGTTTGAGACTGTCTCTTGGGGGTTTCTGAGACTGGGAAATCTGACATCTGAGAGTACCTCAACAAAGGTCTGAGTGATAGAGTTGCATGGAGTCCTCTCAGGAGTCTATTCGTGTTTCAGCAGCACACTGCCTTGCATCTATCAGAGTCTCCTTCCTGGGCCCAAGTATACAAAATGTCACCCCTGTCTCCTGCAGGGACCTGGAAAAAAAAAGCAGAAAGCCTGACCTCAGATTTGGATCCTCTGAGTAGGACCTGGGAATATGGTTGGGGGGTTTAACGCCTTCCTGCTCTGCTTGACTGTATTCTGGTGATCATAGCCATCTATCTCTCCAAAGCAGTGGGCCAGAAGATCTGAGCCTGGTCCCCAGAATTTCCTGCCTGTCATGGTTACCTGCCTTCCAGCAGATGCCATATAGCCAGTAGGCAGAGTACAGGCCACCACCCTGGGTGGCTGGAGGAGGTTGGCAGCCAAAGCTTGGTGCCTCACCGCTCCTTGGGAAGATCCGAGCATGCAACTTGGAGACCTGGGCAACTCGTTGAACCTCTGTGTATCCCAGTTCCCCTAGATCACAAATGAGACTTAGAACCATTGCCCTACAAAGCTGTGGTGAGAATCAAATGAAAGGGGAAGCACTCGGAAAGGCCCATCTTGCATATACTTAGCAGGACAGACTCTGGTGCCGGTTGCAAAGGAGGGCGCCGTGGGAGAACTTGGGCTAGGTTTTAGAGCAAGAAGGGTACTAGAGGAATAAAATGACAGCAATTTGAGGAAGAGGGGAAACAAGTGACCCCTGTCATTCTGACAATGTTTCCTGATAATAAAAATAACAGGCCTAAGAGAACACTGATGTTTCTTTAATGTTTTTATGTTCTTGGTTTTTTTTTTTTACTCCTTTTTTCTTGAGCCCAGAGACACACCTCCCACTTCTCACGCCTTCCTTCTCCATCACTTACAGCTGAAAGCTCTGGATGAGCGGAAATGATAAAAAATGGGTTCTCTCTCTCACCTCCTCCCGCCGTCTGCAGTCGCTGCCCCTTGGCTCTTTTGTGTCATGTGGCTGAAGCTTTGGGTCTCCGCAGGGGAAACGTTTTATCAGAAAATGTTTAGGAATGGATTTGAGGCTCCTAACATGTCTTAGGTCCCTGAGTGGGAATGAATTGTGCCTAGATGACCCCCCCGACACACACACACCAAGTCAACTGGCACAGGCTAGGGTTGCTCAGGTAGCATTTCCAGGAATCCAGTGTACTCTAAAGGATTGGTTTGTCACATGCCCAATTACCCTATTGGCCGTTCCCCTGTAGGACTGTTGAGACATTTCCTCCCTCCACCCCACATGTACTTTCCGTAATCATAACCCCCTCTTTCCTGCTTGCCTATGTCCCTATTTCAGTGACAGTCATTGGAGTAGAAAGGGGTTGGGGAATAGCTGAGATATCATCTGAGAGCAGCTGAGAGGGGAGAGGGAGAAGGAAGAGCAACTACAGCTGGCAGTCAAACACCTGGGGATATTAGTGGACATCCAAAGCTGAGCTCCTGATGAAATCCTGGGTTCTGCTCTGAAAGACATTCTTGGGGTCCAGAGCTAGAGGAGAATGGAGAGGAGGGATTGGCTGTGAGATCAGCCAGATTCCACAAACGAGCAACAGATTTGCTGTGGGTTCCTTATATTCAACTCTCTCTCTCTCTCTCTCTCTCTCTCTCTCTCT